AATAAAATTTAATTATATAAATTAAATATAAATATTGTAAATATATTATTATTTTAAAAATAAATACAAAATAATATTAATTTTATTTGAAAATATCATATTAAAATTTATTTGAAAATATCAAGATTTGAATAGGGTAGATTATGTTATACCGGCGACCCCTAGGGCATTCACCTAGGCCTATAAACATTTGTTGAACATTTGGCGAAGCTCAAACAAAATATAATTAGTTTGGATTAAATTAGAAATGAATAATCAATTAAAACTTCTATTAAAAAATTAATTTTTTTCTGAAAATAAATCATTACAATCACAAAAATCTTTTATGAATACATTAATTTTTTTTTATGAAATAAACTCTAATATAGTATTTATAATAAAAAAATAGAACTGTTCTTTAATTCTATTATCTAGAATCGTTATTACTTATCTTAACAAGGAACACCGAGTACCTAATTTGCAAGCTAACACTTATGATTTCCATTCAAACAACTATTAAAATAATACAAATAATTTTTTCTATGACAAGAAATTCATTTTAATTAGAAAAAAGAATGTTTGAAAAAGAAAATTATTAACAAATGTAAGGTAATTCTTAAATATAATTTCATTTATCAACCAATGCATTAAAGATATAATATAATGGTTTATCAGTGGGCATGAACACCTTTGTATATAATTTTTATTTAGCTTATCAAAAATAATTATTTATTGTTATATTAAATTTGACAGAATAGATTGTAATGTAGTGAATTTTAAAATAAAAAAATATAAAAACGAATGGTTAGAAATACATGTGTATTCATGCCCTTAAACTTTTTAAGCAGTAAAATTAATATTAATTACATAAATTTATAAATAAATATTTTTTTTTTGTCTATACAATATTATACAAAATTTAATGTTAAAGTGATTAATAGACCTAATAAAATTTGTTTATTAATTTAATTAGCACATTAATCGCTAATCATGCTTATGTACCATTTCACTATCAAGACGAATACTGTCGAACGTTTAGATTAAGCTGTATATATTTTTTACACTTTATTTCAACTATTAAAATAGGAATAACAAAATAAAATTCGTATTTTTACAAAATAATATTAATAAAAATTTATTTTTTTTATTATTTTTTACATATAAGATTTTTATTTATCAATATTTAAAGTTACTTATTTTAAAATTGCTATTTATAACAATTTTGTATAAATTAGTAATACTAAATTCTTGAATTAAATTTTCAGAATAACTTCAAACATTTAC